TGTCTGTCTGTTAATAAATTCCGTAAAGTATCTTTGGCTCGGCGTGCTTTGGTGTGGGACGAGGGGAGTCAGAACAGAGAACTAATAACTGTATATAATATTCCAGATGTAGCCTGATAGGCGCGGCATGGAGTGATTCATCACTCCCTGTGACCTTGATGCCAAACCTCTATTGATGCCGCAGTGGCTTTTTTGGCAGCTGCAATACATTGCGGGAACATTCTTAACTTGCAATGTATACCAAGAGTCCCAGATCTTTTCTGCAAGTACTATTGCTAAGCCAGATATTACCAAACTCGTATGTGTTCTGTAGATATGGCTTTTCTTAATTAAATGCAGAATCTTACATTTTTCAACAGTGAACAACATTTGCAGGATAGCACCCAATGTTCAAATTTTTCAAGATCCTTTTGAATCTTGAGCCCGCATACCTTTCCCCCCCACTTCGTATCACTTTCATATTTTATCAGCATGGCTTCTGTTCCCTCAGCTAAGTCATAGATGTCGAATAGTGCTACGTCCAAGGCATAACCTTGAGGTACATTAAGGATCACATATTGGCTATAGTTGTTTAGCTGTGAGTCCACCTTATAGCAGGAACATCCAGCCCACATTTTTCCACTTTATCAAGAAGGAGACTGTGGTCAACCTTACCAATTCCCAATGACTAAATGTAGTACATTCACAGCATTCTTTTGGTCAACTAATCTAGCCACCTCATCAAAGAAAGCAATAAGATTTGGGTGGTGTGACCTGTTTTTAACAAATCCATACTGGATTCTGATAATTACCTTATTTGTTTCTAAATGCTCACACACCCACTGCTAAATTATGTTTTGCAGAATTTTCCCAGGTATTGATGTCAAACTGATCGGTCTGTGGTTTCCTGAGTCTACTTTTTCTGTTTCTTAAATATTGGAACCATGTTGGTTGTTTTCCAGTCATCTGGAACTTCCACTATGTTCCAAAGGAAAATTTATGAGCATGAATGTGTATGGTATATTAAGGAGAATTATGTGTTATTGTATCAGTTTTAGCTTTCTGTTTTTGGTCTAGCAGGAGCCGTTGGAGCTGCCGATGGACTCCAATAGTGAGGACCCCTNAGGTTCGAACAATTTTTGAAACCCACCACTGAGGAGCTTCCTGATATATTGTGGCTTCCCCCCTCCCCTTGAAAATAAACTACTGTAGTTAGTAAAAGCCTGTATGTTGGATTTAATTTCTCTAATACCAAGTTGCAAAGCACAGAATTATACCTGGAAAACTGTCATGATGGCTGCAGGAAAGGTATCGAAATTTGCCGAAGGAGTGCCATCCATAAAATTAAATCTGTTTAACAAAAGAAAACAAATGTGAACATTAATGCTAGGACTTTTTTTTCCTGATTCAGTCCACAGACAAGAGCAAAAAGTTGAATCGTCCAACCCTGTGGTCTTTTTTCTGTAATTCTATATTTCAGAATGGTGCTGGACTTCCTTTTACTGAATTTGCTCACATGAAATCCAGACAGTTATTATCTGGGGATGTTTTAATTTGGATTCCTGCAGGGGGCTGATAGTCTAAATGGCCCTTGCATGGCAGAAAAAATAGAATCAGGGAAAGAGAATAGAGTGATAATATAGCTGAAAAGATAATTCAGGAATTATCTTTGAAGAGCAATGGAAAGCAATCACTATTTGTTTTAGATATTTAATTGTATCTCCTTATCATTGAAAGCAAGATCTCAATCTTCTGCCGCTTCTCTGGATTCTAACAAATTGCCAATGTCTACAAATTTCCAAACCCAGATGTAAGAGCTATGAATCTTTGAAGCATTTTTTTAAAAAGCAACTTAAAGACTGTCAGAATGCTCATTTCTGTGACAGCTACTGAGTCTTGTGTTTGTGCAGTAAATCTGCAAAATGGAAGAAAGGCCTATCTTCCAAAATCTTTCTTCAGAATCAATTTAACTAGGCCCTCATATCTTGCATAAGCAATTGCTTCTCCTAGGGCACTTAAGCATTAAATCACATTATTGGAAAATGTTGTGGGAGCTTTTCGGAAGAATCTAGCATTTTTTGGGTGACATATTAAATAAGCTTTATTTGGTTATGGACTTACCTGCCACCGAAAAGCTGCATCCCAAGTAGAGCAAAGACTACAATGAAGAGGAAAAGGAGGAAGAGCAGGCTGATAATAGACTTCATAGAACTCATCAGAGAGACCACCAAATTCCTCAAGGAAGCCCAATACCTGGAAAATCCAGATGTTGTTATAGCCTGCTTCCAAAAGCATCACACAATTGTTTCATTTGGGTACACCAGGATTTATTTGGGTAACCGGAGTTGTGCCATAGCATCAAAGCATCCTAGGGTTGGAAGAGACCTTGAAGGTTTTCTAGTCCAACTCCTTGCCCAAAGCAGGAATGTTCAAAGCATTCTGGCAAATTTCAATTCAATTTGTCAATTTTAATAGATTCGTATGCCGCCCAATCCCGGGGGGACTCCGGGCGGCTTACATAAAAACAGTTGAAAAAAGAAGATATTAAAAATTAAAAATATAAGACAGANTGTTTATGTTCCCCCCTTCCCAGTTTTATGTGAGCCGCCCTGAGTCCCCTCAGGGAAAAGGGCGGCCTACAAATTCTAATAAAACTAAAACTAAAATAAAACACCAGATTTACTTAACAGATTACTAGCTTTATCAACTGTAGTGATTCACTTAACTGTGGCAAGAAAGGTCATAAAATGGGGAAAAACCCACTTAGCAATGAGCTCAATTGTGGTCATAAGTGGAGGACTATCTGTAGTTAAAACATTGAATACAAGTTGTGCACCATTATTGTTGAAAAGTAGGTATTCTTTGTATCATTATTTGCTGTTTAACTTGATTTTATTTAAATATTTAACTGTAAGATACTAATTGTAGTTAACTGATCTACTGATATAGTATTTATTGATACTTATTGATACTGATAACTTCATAGGAATCAGTGAATTACAGTGTTATACCTGCAACCTTGAAGAATGTATCCTCAGAAGTAAGTTACACTAAGTTCAATAATTTCTCAGCATTACTAAATATATTGTTCAAAAGCCTCGGGTTCCAACTCAAACAATAGACTACTTATTCTGCCTTTCCGTGTAATAGTTCTCAGATCAATATTCTTCTCAATTCCACCCCTGCAGCAAACTCCCAAAATGAACACTTTCAGAACTGTTAGTTTACTTCTATTTGAAGAGATCCAAGCTGCAGTAGGGCCTTGTAGCCATCAAAATGTATATATATCCAGAGAGACAAATGGAATTAGACACAATAGCTTAAAGCCAATTTAAGTACCATTCTTATTCTGAAGCACTATATGATCTCACAGATGGCTTCGTCAAATGCATTTCATCCAGCAGATCTTAATTTGTTTGGACACATGAGCCATTGTGCTTGAAATCAGCAGAAGTACAACAGATTATTAGCGAAAGGAACTCTACTGCTCAGAGAACTTTGCCAATTGCATCAGAGACAAGCAGGCAAGCATAAAACAGATCATGATAAATTTTTAAGGACCACCCTCTGAATTTTAGTCACAAGAGACTGTGAGATAATGTGCAAAGCTTTTTGGAATATGCATTATTAAAACAGGTCTGTCTAGCTCTGAGACACATAAATTTCTCACCCAAAAATGTTTCATGAAACTAAAAATTTCCTTCCTTGATGCACTAGATATATGCTATGATTTAAGAATTCAAAAGGAAATGCAAATAATTTTTATGATTTTAAATCATGTTAAAAAAGGAACATCAGCAAAATTAACAAGCTACCCATTAATAACTATGACTCATCTTATAGTATTAATGTAAGTATTTTGAATTTCTATTGCATAAAAATAAGTAGTTTTATTGTAATGCTCCTTAGGACAGATCGCAATGATTAATACCATGTTTTTTTTTATATGAGGCTATTACAATATCAGAAAAATAACAATTTCTAAGGTATTCACCTTTCAAAGTTCAGAACTATTACTTTTAAAATGTCGTATAGTACAAACATTTTGAGTAACTTGTACAGCATCTCTTTTACTCTTTACAGAATTAAACATGAATGCAATGAATTTCAAAGGATACTCATTTCGAAATTGGAGATATATTAATATTGGAATTATTTGGGGGTTGGTTTCTGGGTTCTGTAGAGGCTTTCAGAAGCTACATGCAACTCTGGGGTCAAGATTTGGCACCTCAAAATTAGAAATATGACAGAAATCTAACAAAAATACTCTGATATTATCATAACCAATTTCCTGTACTTAAACAACTTTGCAAAGATTAGTATAATAATTTTTACAAATTGTTACTGTAAGGACAACATAATTATTTAAACTTGTTCCTCAACAATTAAATCTTCAATTAGTGAAATGATCCATCTTCATCAGAAACAAGATGGCATCCTGACATTAATTCTTCTAGACAAGTAAAATATTAGGTTCACAAAAGAATAATGACTTTTTCAGTAACAAAACTAACCAAGTCTTCTTCCAACTTTAATTATATGACTTATGTATTTTCTTGTCTTACTGCTATTTCCATGTTATCCTTTGAATATTTATTTGTGGATATGGGTGTGTAAGTCTGAGTGGCAACAAACACAGGCCTGTTCAGTATACTTATGAAGTGCAATGAAGGCAAAACTAGAACATGTGCCAGCTTGACCTAATACTGCAAAGCTCTAATTCCTTTCTCAAAGTCTGCCTCATTTCCTAAAAATCTGGAATCAAACATACAAGAGCTTATTTTATTATTAAAATTTAGAATGCCTTATCAATACCAAATGTTTAAACAAATGATTTGAACAAATAATTTTGCTTTATAAAAATGTAGAATTATATACACCATAGATTGCACCTTTAAATCTGCTAGATGTTAGGAAAGATAGAGAAACACAGTGTATAATCAGAAATTAATTTGTGTAACATAGAACGTATTACATTTAGAAACATTTAGACAGCAAATTGTTTTCTCCTTGCCAAAGCAATGATTTCTATAACAGATTGTTTTAGTTTACACATGAATTTTGACCTGGATGAATGATGCTTCAAAGATCAAGGCTACATCTTGCCCTTCTAAAGGTCTGCAGAAGGTCATCCAGAAATGGTATGATGCACTGGAAGAAATTGGTCTGTAATGGGGAGGACTCTTTATCCATGTTCTGAGAGGGGCAAAAGAGGAAAGTGTAGGAAGCTTTGAAGAGACAAATCATTCTATTACCATCCCTGCAAACCACTCAGAATGCTTCAAAAATTAAAATATAGAATGTGGTTGTTTTGCTTCCAGATTTTAATGATATAATCTGGCAATACTGGGTGGCTTCAAATGGAGCACTCTGGGACTCTTACACTTCAACTCCCATTGTTGGCAGGGAAATTCTGGATTCCATACATCTTAACCAGTGGTGGGATTCACCTTCCCTATTGGTTTGAAATGTGAGTGCGCTTCTTCATGCGTAAAAGGTCATGCATTATGTTAGGGTAGGTGGGCGGAGCCTCCCACAGCCACTGTTACTGGTTCGCCTGAGAAACAAGGCTGAATACCACCTCTGATTTTAACATTTGCCAAGGTTGAGAAATTTAATATAGACCACAGAATATGGCTGGCCCATCTCTGCTCTAGACAAATTTATGTACCATCAGAAACTAGCTAAAGTAAATTCTAGGACCAGTGAAAAGTATGCCATATTTATCAATTACTACCATATAATCCCTTTAATTCTTACCAAGTTCTACATCCTGGTCATCAGTAAGAACAAGAATGATATTTGGGCGGATATTCCGCCGGTCCCTTTGAAATCTTCCTTTCAGACGCTGATTCAACAGGAAAGCTGAACTGTCACCCAGCAAGGATAAGAGAGTCATTATGAATAATCCCATGGCAATATTACGGTGTGCCATATTGTTCTTATTTTGCATGCTCTTTGAGCAAAGTTGAGGGAGTATTTTCTGGTTCTTCCTCAAATGCTGATCTAAGAGGGAGCAAAAAAAAATTAAAATGTAAAAAGTATGCAATAAAAATATAGACATATTTTACAAACCATTAATTTTAAATACAACCATTTTTTTTTAAAAAAATTCTCCTTTAAATGAGAAAACTTGACTATGCAGCCCTTCCAATTCAATTCCAAAACAGCACTTTGAGTGCAGCAGGATATACAAATAAGATATACAAATAGCACTTATCTATAAAAAGCTGCAATTTTTGTCTTCCTTAATTACCCTATGGCCCCTAGAAAAAAATGTGGCTACTTTAAATGGGTGCAAAACAGTTGCTACATTTGCAATACTGCATATTTTGAGGCATCTTTCTGAAGTATTTCACAAGGATTGTGAAAGCACATTATTTGGCAATCATAGCAACGTGCATGCCTACAAAATCTCATGAACATATACAAAATAGCCATCAACAACCTTCATTTACAATATATTTGCACTAAATCACTTCAGCTTCAACTTATTATTTACAACAGTTAGAGTAGGTAGGTAGGTAGATAGCTAGATAGGCAGGCAGGCAGGCAGGCAGGCAAACAGACAGACTTTGTTAACTCTATTAGCAATAGCAATAGCACTTAGACTTATATACTGCTTCACAGTGCTTTATAGCTCTGTCTAAGCAGTTTACAGGGTTAGTATAGCCCCCAACAATCTGGGTCCTCATTGTACCATCCTCGGAAGGATGGAAGGCTAGGTCAACCTTGAGCCTGGTGAGATTCGATCTGCCGAACTGCTGGCAGTCAGCAGAAGTAGCCTGCAGTATTGCACTCTAATCACTGTGCCACCGTGGCTCTTTAACTGCCTGGAGAAGTCCCTGCCATTTTCTTAACAAGATTTTCAGAAGAGGTTTGCCCTGCCATTTTTTTTCCTAGGGCTAAAAAAGAAGGACTGGCCCAAGATCAACAAGGCGGCTTTGTGCTTAAAGTAAGACAAGGACCCAAGATCTCTTGTTTCTGGTTTAGTTCCTTAATAACTACACCAAACTGGCTCTCTTTTCATAACTTAACCTTAACTACAAAACAAAATGAAATGAAAACCCATAGAATTGGCATTGGTATTAAGATCAGAAAAGGACATTCCAGAATAGATTTTTTTTAACATTTATAGTCATTAAATAGAGAAACAATCTGTTGAGTGGGGTTTATAGATATAAGTAAAGAAGTGTTAAGTTCATCTTTCTGTTTTCTTCCTCAACAACGCTTTTTATTATACTAAGGCAATATACAGAAACTAACCATAGGATTAACATTTTAGGGCAAGGTAGCAATAAACTTACATTAATTCTATAAAGGTAATGGAAATGCTAACTTAACTCAAAAATTTAATTGCAGTAATTCTCTCAAAGCAATGGGGAAAAAAAGCATGCTTACTGACACCACAATTAAATTTCTTTCCATGTGTCTGACAAATGCAGGATTAATTTAGAAGAGTGCTATAATTAATTCTGAACTTTCTAAACTTTTTGGCTCTGTGGGTAGATATTCGGTGTTATGTCAACAAGAGTGGGTCATTATTTAAAGTCAGTGAGTTTGTTTTAAAAAATAAAAAGAAACAAGCAGGTTGCTGAACTTGTTTTAAAAAGGGAAAACAGAGAACCCGTTCTTTAAACAAATCATAAGCTGCCATACTTTTTTATTTACTTGACATATCGTATTTTTCAGAGTATAAAATACTCTGGACTATAAAATACTCTGGACTATAAAATACTTTGGACTATAAAACGCACCTACTTTTTGGGAGGACAAGAAAACAAGAAAAAGTATGTCTTTGCCTCCCAGCATCCATTTGGTATTCATCTGGCCCGTTTACCACCCCCTCAACCCGTTTGCCACCCCCTCAACCTGTTTGCCACCACCCATTTGCCGCTGCCGCGGCCTGTTTGTCCTGGCCCATTTGCCACCATCCGTTTTCCATGAACTGTTCACCGCTGGCATGGCCCATTCAGCAGCACTGATCCCCGCCACTTGAAACAGGTTGAAAATGCAACGTGCAGAGGCAAAAAACAGGATGTGGAGGACACAAATGTGATGTGCGGAGACTGAAAATAGCCAGCAGGTGGGGGCTGGCAAGTGGGCAGGGCTTTGACAACATTTGATGCATAAGATGCACTACAATTTTCACCCACTTTGGGGGGGGGAGTGCATCTTATACTCTGAAAAATAGAGTAATTTTATTTACTTGACATAAATTAACAGTTGACATCTTTTCTTGTCCAGAATTTAGTAAAACGGTCATGTTGATCAAACTTCTGTGCTACCAATTTTATTTGACTCATTACATCTTATAATCATTAAAGTATCCACAGTATATGTAACACTACAAACAATTAAACATTTACAATAAATATAAAGCTTTAAAATGTCCACACTTAACTATTTACCGGTACCCTTTTAAAATGATACACCAAAACATCCATTCCAGCACTTTACTGTCACAAAACAATAATCCTATTATAACCCCATGATTGTTATTCCATATCCTACAGATCATGATGACAAGAGAGCAACAGTATTAAAGCTTTGAAGGACTTCTGGAATAATTCAGCTTTTAATGCTATCTGGAAGGCTGTCACAGTCGTTTATAATCTAATATCCAAAGAAGGCTGTTACAATTTGGTGTTGCAACTGAAAAGCGCTCGCTTTCTCCCTCCCAGCCACCCACCACTCTCCCTCTCTCTCTCTCACACACACACTTTTCTTTTCTCATAAAAGTGTGTATTTTTCCCAGTAGTTTATTTCACAATAAATATATCTATACATTGGTGCCAAACTTTACTTTGATTGGATAAACCTTAACTTAAAAAGTTCTTAAGCTGTGGCAAACTAATGGCCTGAAAGAAAAGGATCAAGAGTTGGCTACAAATAAAGTCAGAAAAAACTGGAGAAATGGCACATGTATTAGCTGAGTGTTGGTATAAGAAAAATACTCCTCCAATGCATTTACTGGAGTCGTCAAACTGGAAGATGCCATTGTGGCTAGCTGCATAATATGTGCAAGAATCCAAATTAAACTTTGATAGACAGCTGTCCACCTCTCCTTGAGAATATCTTTTTAAAAACCCACTACATTTTTCAGTAATTAGTTTCATTCTTAAACTGTTTTTATCTTATGAAATTACTGCTAGGATTTCACCAACTCTTATTCCTATAACTTAACATTTATTATTGTATATTCTAGGCCCCTTGTGACAGAGCCGAGGTTGAAACTGTGGAGCACGTCCTTCTATTTTGCTCCATGTTTAACGCAGACAGATCCAAGTTACTGTCTCTTCTTGAAATCGTCCCTTCTAGACCTAATGGCTGTAATTTATTTGTATATTGCCTTGGAGATATCTCCTCATACATCACCTCTCAGGTTCAAATTTTTCTTAAGAGCTGTAACCATTAGAGGAGAACGCTGTAACTTCCCTTAGTTAAGCTTTTGGTGACTGATTACTATGATGCTATTATCAATTCTCTTATATCTCTTTTGTAGTACTCATGTTTTGGTCTGTGACCATAAATAAAGTGTGTGTGTGTGTGTGTGTGTGTGTTTGTGTGTGTGTGTCTGTGTGTATATGTGTGTGTATGTATGTGTATGTGTATATGTATATGTATGTATATTCTAGGATGATTAAAAAAATGATATCTGTTTCCCTGAAAATAAGATTCCCACGAAAATATTGCAACACAACAGCAGCAGCCATGAGGTGACCACGCTCGCTACCTCCTGCACCTAATAAGACCTCCAAGAAAATAAGGACAAGTGCTTATTTCAGGGATCAAAAGAAAATCAGACCCCGTCTTATTTTGGGGAAATATGGTAGCCTTTTGTTCAATTTTTTTCAGATATATTAAAGCAACCCTCCAAGAATCTCTCTTTTCTTTCACCAATACTTAAGTTTGTAGTCCCAGATCTTCTCTGAATCTGATTTTGAACAGACCCTTTTAAAAGTGTAAGGCTTAAAAATGGACAAAATCCTCAAGATGCCACCTGACTACTAAAAAAAAAAAAGGATTAGAAACTATACTTCTGTTGATAAATCTAAAAACACTGTTCAACTGTTGCTAAAGCATTTTTTTTCAATCTGTTCAGATCCTAGTTGTCAAGTAATCCACCTCAAATTTAACTAAGTGCTAATTAGAATGTCATTAGATAATTTGGCAAATGCTTTGCAGAAATCACAGTAATTTATGCTTACTGAAATGCTGACCTAATTAAGGAGGTTTGCTGGAATTGTCTTTGCTGGTCTTTAAGATGACAATAACAATTTGTTCTTCACTTATCTGATACTTTTGTTCTCTAGGATTTCACAAAGTCAACACAGTATATCAGCAAAATCCTTCAGTACTCTGGGATGAAATTCATTCAGAATTCAACTCATTCAGACAGATATTCCCTGACCATGAATCTTAAATTTAATCTTGCCCTTCACAATGGCCTAATTAAATTTATATCCCCCAGTTGGAAAAGACAAAGCAAAATAGGATTTGAGGAGTTCTATCTTCTCTTGTTATTGTTAAGTGTTAATATTTGCAATTTTAATTATGTACTTGCTGTACTGATTCTTTTTTCTTTGAATATATCTGAAGAAGCCCTATTTTTTTATCTTAAAATCAGCTCAGTTCATTCTGACCTTTAGCTGCTCAAATCTCTTTTTTGTAATTAAGAACAGTCTTCTGATAACTTTCCACCTCCTACCGAGGTTTTGTTTGTTTGCTTCCCTGATGCTTACGTTTTTCAAAGATTTTTGTGCAGCTATAGTTTTTGTATCATTTCTTTATTTTTCCTCTTTGCAATTCTGCTTTCGGGATCTTTTTCAGGAATTGCCACACAGCTTTAGCTCTATTTTTCGTATTTAGTTACTTCTGTCATGGAAACATTTCTATGGTTTTATGTATTTAAAAAAGAACACTTAACACTCCAAAATGTATGTTTCATTATATTTATCTTTAGTTTTCCTTAACTTTAAATAATCCAGGATTATTGGGCTCTT